GGGGGGTGTGTGTGTATGTGTGTGCGTCTGTATACATACATGTTAAAATATATTCGTTATTTTTATATTATAGAGTATTATAGAGTAACTTATTTAAAAATATTCAAGTTCAATGAATTTAATGAACTTAATTTTAAAAGTAATAAATTTTGTATTATTTATCTGGGACATAATTTTTCTATCGTGAACAAACTTTATGCACAAACAGATTTCGTTATTTTCTTAAAAGCCAGAAAGTAATAATGAAAGTAATGTAGTCGTTATGTAACTAATTCGGACCATTAAACTCGTTATTTAATTTAGAAGTAATTTCTGTTTATCGAGAATTACATCAAAACTTTGTAGCTGCAAGATCGCCTAAAAATAATGAGGAGCATATAAGAATTCGTCTAGAGAGAAAGACGTGTAATAATTCGAAGTTATCCAGATGATTCGAGTCATTAATATATCACAGAAGAAATGTGAAATATGCTATAAAAGCATATAAAAGACTTTATTAATTTATTTCAATTCTAAACATGCAAATCAAATAGCATTCGTGTTAAGAGATGTTGAAAATTTTAAATTGGAAAGCGGAAGAACTAACCCAATTCTAGGATTCGTGAAATCCGTTTTTTATAAAATCATTTATGATTTTCTGCCAAAAAATTCAATTTCAATTTTTCAATTATGAGCTTAATAGGAAGATAAATACAATGATTTGGTAAGACCAATACGGACACATTTGATATTCAAAAATTGAGCTTGAAATTGAAGTTGAATGTAGAGTATTGCGATACTTTTAATGAATAAAGGCTTAATAAAAATTAAATAAGAAAGACTTTAGAGAACATAACTAAAAGAAAGAGAAATAATGCTAATAATTTTAGGACCTTGTTTAACATCCGAGTAGATAAAAATAAATGAAAGAGACGAGGTAATGAATAGATTATAGACAACTGCTACCAAATAGTATCCGAGCAAGAATAAAAAATAAAAAGAAGAGAAAAAAAATACGTTAAAATTATCTAAAATAGAATTGCCAGCAACGGACTAAATAAAATCATAAAATCAGATCAATGTGATTCCGAGCGGATTATCAAAATATCCTAAACAATATAAAGTCTAAGCGGGATAATGATGATTCCCTTACTGTGGACACTCTTCAAGGATTCGCTCGAGTGATGATGATTTTCATCAAATTATTTACGTTATTCGATCACAAAATATTTTTAATATCGCGATAAATGTATTCCAACCAAATTGATACGATAGTTGTCACAACGACGTGAGGATACTAAATAAAATTCGAAAATAAATTCGAATTAATTGTGTATTGAAAATTTACATTAATTAAATTAATACTTACTGATTGTAAACGCACGCATGGGATTGAAATAGTACACATACTTCTTAAATCTGTCAATATGTGTTGTCCAGTAATCATTTGTAGTCTCGAGTTGCATTCAGCCTTAGATATGAGGTGCAAATTAGCCGATTGTAATATCGTATTAAAGTCACCTTCTTCATCGGAACTCCATCCAGCTGTAGCCACCATTACTCCAAATAATTCATTATCCGCCATATTCCTTACGGTTACTGGATTAATATTATGCGCCACCTGTTGATTTAACTAAAAAGCAAAGTATTTTTTTTTTTATTTTTTTTTTTTTTTTAGTATTATTTCTAGTATTATTTAAACATATTATTTAAACATATAACGATCAGACGGTCGTTATTGACAATTTTCATTAAATCACATTACTCGTTAGAGTATTTGCTAGCTTTATTCACTCTCAGTCTAACGTCAATTTCTATACAGAATTTCGAATTTTAGGCACAACTGCGACGATTTAACATGAATAATAATACCATTCTTTTACCATGATTTGTCTTTAATTTGTCAAGTTAAAAGTATTTGTTCTCATAAGTTGCCTCATGTTAAAGTAACAAATGTAATTTTGAATTTTGATAAATGTCTGTATTCTTTTTAGCCGTATAATTTTACAAAATTTGACTTTTACATTATGACTTTCTAATGATATTGTTAAAATATAAAAATTCTAGATAAAAACTTTTAAGTTATTAATCCGACAATCCCTAGTGTGACTTATATGATAATATGATTTTACTCCGCGTTACTTGCTACATGAGATATTAATATAACTTGGATCGTAGTTTTAATTTTAGGTCCATTTTACTCAATCTGTTAAATTTTACCTTGAAATACATTATATCAAAATTATTTATTAAAAATAGTAAAAATTATCATTTTCAACTTGATGTATGTGCATAATTTTTTTTTTTAATTTCCGTTTTGACATTTTTCTAATTACATTAACATGTAAAACACTAGCTTATAATTTTTTTTTATAATCAGTATTATAATGCACACGCGTAAGCTTAAGGCTATCGTGAATCATACACATAGTCATATTGTTATTTGGGATGGAGATTAAAATTTCTTGAATAATATTACTTACCCTTATAATAGCCACATCATTTTCTGAAAATATAAGTTGTACTTGCATTTGAAAAGCCCACTCATTGTATAACATCCACCAGTATGGTCGGTATGTTCTACCTGATCGTAAATCAGCCGTTCCAATAATTATCTCAATTTTCTGCAACGACTTATACTCTAAACAAGTTGCAGCCGTTAAGATGTCTTGGTGGGTTATAAGTGTTCCTGTACATTTGTGTGTACTATTCTCATTGGGCTTCTTTTCAGAAACGGATACAACAAAATTAAATTCATTATTTATTACTGAATTAACATTTTGTCCAAATAATGCTTTAGCATTCCCAGTATTAAATTGTTTATCTAAAGAATAAAATCTTCAATTGAATAGGATTGAGCTATAGGTAAAATATTAGCATGAACTATTTTTATCGTATTTTTTAACGAAATGAAAAGAAAAAGAGTGCTTTTCTTTACTTACTAAAAATTATAAATTGAAAAACGAAAAGGACAATTTTGAACAGCATTGTATAATAATGTTATTGTATCTATTATTAAAATAATTAGATTAATAATTAATAAGAATTTTTCAACATTAAATTTAAATTACATAAATATAATAAATATTGTTTCAAAATAAATAATAAATAATTCAAACTAAAATGTCAAGCAGTTTAAATATTATTTCTAAAGTAGATAATAAACGCGTAAACATAGCTAAAATTAATATTAATTGCAATAAAAACTCTTGTTTAACATAATTATGAATATTTATAATTGCATTCTAAATTCATTTTGGAATTCTAAATTTTAGCACTTTCTAATATTTAAAATATATGTAAATTATGAATCTTTAGCTATTAATCAGCACGTAGAAATAATGCGATAGACAGTCAAAAATAATCATCCCAATCTAATAAATCTTATAATTAATTATCAAACTGTTAACTACTCATAAAGAAATAAAAATAATCAGAAAACGTAAACGTATTACATAATGTAGAAATGGTTTTTTAAATTTGTTGGAATCTATGATTGAAAGATTTTAGTAATTAGTAATTAATCTATCATTATGTAAAGATAAAAGGTATTGGATAATTTTGATACAACAAGTTTTTTATTTTAAATAAACGAAGGTAAGCTCATATCTGCATTTTAAGTAAAATTCTATTCAATTATAATTTTTATATAACTTGTAAATATCTATTTGAGAAATACAGAAAATGAGTACAATTTATTGTTGACTAACAGCAATAAACATAGTTTGAGAATAATTAAAACCCTGAAATTATACATAAAATTTCAGATGGCATTAAGGCTTGACTACCTATTTTATCATGAATTTTACTACTGACAAATCAAATAAATATTATCATGTAAATGCTACATTAAAAATTAATAAATATTTGGTTTTTTCTTTTTAATTTTATCTGCAAATTTATAATTTATAAAAGTTATCATTTTAAAAGAATAAGAAGAAACAAATGAAAAGTTTAGTGATTTTTTAGCTTTCTCTCTTCCTTGTTCTCATCCACTACTGCAGATAGTATTTTATAATTTTTTACAACTGATATACGTCAAATTAAGTAATTAGATATTTTATCATTAATGCATAATAAACAATATTGCTTGACGACAAATGGATTTAGAGGAAAAGTCAAAATTTATCTAGATAAGCGAGTTGAAAAATGTATTTGTTACATTGGATGCGTTAAAGGCACGTAGAGAATGAACTAAGATCATCAAAAAATATTTTATAATTCCACCCCTTTATGCCATTATTAATACCCATTGATAAAGATATACGGAACAATTATACAGTGACTTATCAAATGCCTTGCCATAAAAATTATGTTTATTTCAGGATGTTTTTTGCCAAATTTGTACGATACATAAACAGTATTTATAATCTTAAAATTATCAATTTATTATAAAAAAAAAATATGATATATAACTAATATTTTACTGCTTTTGTTAAATTAAATGTTTATAAAAAATAATCTATTAGGAAGAGATTAGTAATTTACATAAGTTATACAAAATATAAAAAACACCGTTAAAAAATAATCAATGATGTGGTATAAATTAATTACCTCGGAATACTTCAAAGTATTATAATAAAGTAGTAATGATCAAACATTGATTCTTCAATTCATTAAAAAAATTAATATTTTGCTGTCTTTATAATCACCGTTTAATTAAAAATGATGGTTATCGTTTGAAAAATATAATGAAGAACTAAATTTATGAAATAATAATAATGTTGTATGAATGTTTTTAAACGAGTGACAATTCTTTTTTCTTCGTGTACAATATTCGATAATTTTTATTTCTATTAGACTCGTGACTGATAATATTTTTTAGTTCATAATTTATATATTACTTCTTGATATCATAGATTTGTAATTCACACTAAATTCGAAGAGATGTACAAGTAAATAAAATATTAAAAGTAAAAAACAAATCGAAAGCATTACTTAGATTATTATACTCATAACAAATAAAATTCTTTTAAATTATATAAGTATAATTGAAAGTAATCCATAAATTTCTTTAACACAAATAATGAAACATTAAATTTAAATTACCATTTATTGAAATAGTCTATTGTATTTTTATTATCATCAAATTTACTAATGACATCGTTATTTTGCAGGCAAATAATTTCCATCCATAACTATTGATTAGTGCTAAAATAGAATGTGAGAGCTTAGTTATGATAGAGAAACTAGCAATGAGATTGGATTATAGTAATTAAAGTAGAGATACTTAAAATGTAGTTTGTTTAAGGACTTCTAAACAAAAATTTAAAACATTTTTATATATCATGAACAACTGAGTTTAAAAACAGTAGTGTTAGTATAAATATAAAATTAAGTTACTTTAACGACTAGAAAAATATGTGGTAATGCATTGTACGGTAATTAATATTTTTTCGTATTCGTGAAAATAATATTACAGATAAATATTATAACAATATTTATAATATTATTCATTTATTTAAATTATTATTTTTCTACATAAGTAATGAAACCTCAGTAGTGGTAATTGTTCATAAAATAAATACTTCTACATTACATTATCTTTTCTTACAAATTTTCCGAAATATCTTTTTACATTCCATTAGGATACTAAAATTATTTGTACTTATAACAAAACGATGTTAAATACTTTAAAAAAAATTCTTGAAATTATGAATTTGAAGAAAATCCTTGAGATTTTGTAACACTCGATTATTACATTTATAAAGAGATTAGTGCCTCGAAAAACTAACAAGTTCAAGACAATCAAGTAAGAAAGTTTCTAAGTGAACATTAGTTCTGGAGCTTTTAAGCTTTTACATTTCGTTGCTTAGTAACAAATTTAAAGAGTAATAATACTAATTAAAAGCATCAATGTTACATAAATATAGGTAATTTTATTTTATTGTCCAGAATTATTTAATACTCTAATTTGAAAATTTTATGTTTAATCCATCACTTGGAGATACTATAAAATAAATTGTTTTCGATATATTGTTGTAACAACACAATTATATGAGTTAATAAGTATCTTTTTAAAATATTGATTAACTAATTGTACTTTTGTCTCTAGTAATGTAACATAACAATCAATTATATTTCAATACATAATGATACCTTATATTATAAACGTACATTGTATAATAATAAACAATTAATGTGATGTTTATTTTTTTATACTTATATAAGATAACCGATAACCACTAAGACATATATTAAATAATTGGTAAAGCAAAAAAAAAAAAAAAATGATGTCAAAAGAAAAACAATTTAATAAATGGAAATATTTATATATGTAAAATGTATATTAAAAAAAAAAACTGCTGAGAATGGAAAAAACTAAAAAAATAAGCAATTAATAATATAAAAATAAGTAATATAAATTACGCAAATATGTTAAAATATTAAAAACAGAATTACGTGCACATTAAGGCATTGAATTACGTGAAAAGATCAATATTGCACAGAATAAGATACATAACATCGGCGAGTAAAGGACTAAAGGAAAAGCAGAACTATTATTTTCTCTCCCAAAAGCGTGTCATACGCAACAACATATTGGATTTTATATATTTTCCTTTTCTAATTAATATTATACAGGAC